TTTTATATTTAGCCATGATATTACTTAATTACGTAATGTTATTTTTAATATTACTTTGTACATAAAAATGTATATCCCGCATAAAATCACCTTGATTTGAATTCCTAGCCACAACCAAATCTCGAGAAATGGAAGAGCTGACGAATCAAACTTAATTGTTTTACTTTCAACAACGCAAAATCTATAGCAAAAACAATCGCAAACAATATATGGCTACAGGAATGGAAGCAAGTCGCCTAAAAACTCAACTAAATCAAAAATACCATCCACACATGGCCTTCCTCACCTGACTTCTCAAGGAAGATGGAAACTTCAATAAACAAAATGCGCATTTGGACACACGCATCTAACACACCAGTACTTGATGAAGAAAGAAGACCCACCCATACGCGGTACACTCCTATCTATTAAACATATTGTATCCGAATACCGCTCCTTGGAAACGGACAAACGTAAAGCTGGGATATCAATTGATATTATATCGAAAACCCTCCACCCAGACAACATAAGTCGTACGATCTCCTTTTTGATCAAGATTCAAGACCAACCTTATTAATAGCTTATAATCTATTATTCTGTAATATGTTTATGTAAATAGTGTATGTTAATAATTGTTCTACCTTATAACTCTTTGTATGCCAATGGCCAAAGTCGCCGAAGCTTAATTTTAATAATAATAATAATAATAATAAAAAAAACCTATGAAACAAATTTTGCAGTACCTAATTATAAATAATTTATACCTATTACTTGTAGCAGACAAGATTACACATATAACATATTATATTAATTTAATATTATACTAAGTCTCGGGACTCGTTGAGGTTTGATCAAACATTAAATATTGGTTCACACTCTCCGTCTCCGTTTGTATTTTCAGTTTTTCCATCCGGACAAGTACATTTTTTAATATCGATTATTGCACTGGATTTGATTCGATCATATGGAATAAAGGACGCGTATAATGAAGTAGAATACTCGCAACTAGTAATAATTATGGTTGTTTGGTTTTCGATCACTGTTTCTACGCTGTCTATTGCCTTCGTCTGTATCATAGTCATTTCTTCGTTAGACGTCGTGTAGGCGACGGCTGTTCCTTTAATAAACGTTGTCTTGATAGTATTTTTGGACGTATATGGGATCATAGTGGTGTTTGCTGGAGACATGGCCAAAGTGATGATATTCGCGATGGCATCGGTCGTAGACTGTCCTACGGCATCAACATGAGATATGGCTAAATTTATATCAGGCGACTGTCTCACACTGGGCTTATGTGGCCGCCTTGATCGATTAATGGCCATTACATTTCGAAAGACATTATTTGCGTTCGCCAAAGACACCACGACAGTGATAGTGACAACAGTCGAAATCGCAAGATTAAACCGAATTTTCATCGTGTTACAAGTCTATTTATTGCACGAAATAACGAATTGTTTGTCAACAGACAGAACTTTAATATGTAATATAATGAATGGAAAACTTTAATGTGCGCGTTAAATTATTGTGCTATCCAGAAAACGCGCAATAAGCATGCACATTATAGGAGCAAATTATAATTATTATTGGTTTCTAAACATGACTAGTAGAACCTTCAAGCTTAAGTATGTGATCTAATAGTTTTAACCTTGAGTTCAAAATCTATGTTGGCCCATTGGTAAATTATGTGTAGGTACTTTCATAAAAAATCTGACCATTTTAGCAGTCCATTAAATACGCATCATGAAAACATCATTGGAATAATATCTAAAAAAAAAAAAAAACAGACAGATTTCATTTTTTTATGATATTATGTTGATTTATTAATCGATGGGAGTTTTATAAAAACATGAAATGTAAATTGTAATGTTTTCACAAAACAATTTATATTGTTATAATATAAATACGGTGAGACGGTAAATCGGTTCAAAAATTAGTGTTATAATTATTAGAATAAATATTACATCTATTTATAGTTCTGTAAAACAATCAAATATGGAATATTATTATCTTAATAAACTTGATATATTTTAATAACTCTATACCTACTCGTTCTAATATTTTTTATGTATCTTTACATCAAAATTTATAAAATATTTATCCTCTTTATAGTTCACACTTTCACAGTAAAAAAACCTAAAATTACATTTTCGAAATTATTGACCTAGTGGAAAATTTTATTTCGATAATTATAGAAAAAATTTAAAATGTCTAATATTTATAAATAGTTCAAAAAAAGTAAATATTTTGAAAATCATTCCACTTATATACAATTTTAGTATAAATAGTAGAGGTGAAAATTTCAAATATTTTTAATATTTTTTGAGTTCCGCTAAAAAAAAAAAAAATTAATTTTCTCAAAAGCTGATTTTACTTAAAAATTCTTATTTTTTTTTGTTTTTCGCGATTATTTTGAAAAACTAAATATTTTACTTTTTTAAAGTACCAATTAGAATAATTAGATTCAATTTACTATCAGAGTAACTCTCAAATTTTTATCGAAAACTTTTTTCTATATCTCATTTTTTGTGTAAAGATACAAAAATAACACAATATTGTAAAATTAACACATTTATCACTCCCACCAGAATTTACTATAAAATTTAAAAATTTTTATTTCTATTAAGAATAACTAATTATTTTTTTGTTTTCCTGTGCCTATGTTCAATATACCTAAATCTAATATATTAATCTTATAAATTTCAAACATTTTTATATGAATAAATCAATATATATTTTTATTATTTTTTTTTTTTGTTTGCAATTACTGACTTAAACGTGACTTATATGTTTAAAACCACTGGAAATAGAAATTACGGTGACCGAATTGAAAAATATAATTTACATATAAGTATAATTAAAAAGGTTTAATTGAAGTGGGCTCTAATTTATCTGAAGTTCACTCAACATACTATATGTCACTTATTGAGTAATTATTATTTCGAATAAAATCAATTCGCATACTGTAAGTCAAATACTACAGCATCCTGGAGGGCTCAGAAACGACGCACTTGTAAGTTTTGCAGAGAGTAAAACATAATATTAATTATAATAATGATATTTTATAACTACAATTGAATTTGTGGTAAAGGCGAGGCTCGTTAGAGCTCGATAAATCTAGTGTAAACCACCTGCGGTCGTAAATAGAGAGAGTTACAAATGATCTGTAAAGGATAGTTTACAATCACCTTAAAAATGTAGTTCCAAGAGTAAATATAAATAAGTAGTGGTTCTTATGTGGAATATGTATATTACGAGAGCCAAATAATTAAACAATATAATACACATTTTGATTATCAAATAATTCTTTCATGTTTAAACTTATTGTAAATAATTTATTAAATAATAATAATAAACAACTATAGCATAGTCTCCATCTAAACCTTTGCAGTGTACTTTTAAGTTTTAACTTTGTAAGATTTAATATAAGTACTCTTACTGTTGTACTTCTACTGTAGAAGTACAACAGTGATGTATTGGAGGAAATACGCGGGTATACGACGTATACCCGAATCCCTATTTTTGGATATATGCGTATACCTTGAAGAAAATTCGTCTATTATGGGTAGGTATACGCCAACTGAAAATGCATGCATTATGAGTATGTGAAAGCTTCTAGTTTATCATCAGTCATGATTAAAAGATCACAGTATAAAATAAATTAATAATAATAATATACAATTATTATTTTATTATGTACACTATTACACTGTCGAAAAAAAGCCTTGACCCCGTATGAAGTTCGGAATTCAGAAACTGCCGAGCCTTCTTCAGTATATTATTTTTAGTATAAATATTAAATATTATGGCATCAATATTATAGGAGTTTAAAATGTATACTTCGCTGAATTTTATACAGCCAGAATACTACTTAAATTCAAACTAAATCTACTTTTTTACATCCTGTTCATCACTAAAATTGCAATTTTGGTTTAATATAAAAAAAATTCACAATTATGAAAATATTTATCGGATAAAGTGTATAAATTTATAAACGATAAAAAATAAATTTTAAAAGTATGCCAGTTAAAATCTATTTACTTTGACTCATATATACGCGAAAATGTAAGTGTTTGTAATAAAAAATAAAGCTTATTAAATAATATTATGATAAGAAGCGTTAAGATATTTCAAGCGGAACGAGAAAGTTTTTTAAGATATTAAATTACTTTTAAGTGCATGTACCCATACATTTATTTACCAATAGGTACACCACTACTTCTACTATGTAGTCTGAACAAAATAATGATGGTTGACAGTAGTATCCAATTAATATGATAATGTCTATTTTCGAGAGACTCCTAGCTACTTCTGCGTTAATAAAGTCAAATTAGTAAGCATTTTTAAACGGTTAATTTTGTTTAGTGTTGTGTAAATGATTTGACTAGAAAAAAAGAGTATGTAAAGTAGAGTTTAGAAACACTTCGATCGTGTTTATAATATATTACATTATCATCTTCATTATTTCATCATCTGTTATTCTATTATAATACTAGAGTGTGGCTTAAATAATTAAAAAAGGTAAAGCTAAACGATGTAGTTCTGAACAACGTAATTGTGATCGATTTTTTATCAAACTAATAGATTAAACCTGCTCAACCATGCACAAATATGATTGGACAAAACATCCCAACCCCTATAAAGAGTAAAGGTTAATTTTATGATTGAAAATGTTTAATAATTAAAAATCGAATATACGTATTTACTATTTAGTTTTCGATTTATTTAATATATCTACTGCAAGACTCGATTCGTCTATCAGTATTTTGAAATTTTTTTCATACACATTTTTTAAGTACTTGCAAGAACTCACAAGTTCAATACACTTTATCATAAAAAAAAATAATATTTTTCATAATCTAATCTATCTTTATTTATTTTTATATTCAACAACAAATTTGTTTTTATAGTTAATGAATGACGCAAATACATAACTCGTTCACCTTGTCTACCCTTTCCACTCACCATTTTATGGACAACATATTCTATAACATATTTTTAAACACTTGAATATAGAAAAATATGAACGAAAACGTGCGCCAGAAAGTATTCGTATTCGCGCACAAATGTTGTCAAAACCTCTATCTGTTTTTAAATAATAACTACAGCAATTAATAGATTTGTATATTTCCGTTACGATATATTATTATGATTGCCTTTATTTCGAATTTGGTTATCAGACTGTTCGGCTCTGTGTACGTATTATACGCAGCAGTCTTTTTGTCGATCGCCTACTATTTTTCAACGTACACTCACGATAAATGGCGCAAATTGAATGTACCACACATACCACCCTTACCACTCTTTGGCAATTCAATGAAAATGATCTTGACTTTGGAGCATCCAATAGACTTTTACTCTGGTGTTTACAACCGATTCCCGGGCAAAAAGTTTTGTGGTTTATATCAAATGACCACGCCGTTCCTGATGATCCGCGATCCGGAACTGATCAACGCCATAATGGTCAAAGATTTCTCATTTTTCACAGACCACGGTGTAGATACTGATCCGTCAACCAACATCTTGGCTAACAGCCTGTTCATGTTGAACGGCGATCGGTGGAGAACGATGCGACAGAAGCTCAGTCCCGGGTTCACCTCGGGCAAACTGAAGTGCATGCATGAACAAATCAAGGGGTGCGTTGACCAACTTATGAACGTCATCGACGGTAAGTTGCAAACCTGCGATCACTTTGAACTGCGAGAGATGGTTAACAACTTCTCGACGGACGTGATCGGTGCATCGGCTTTCGGTCTGAAATTGGACACGATAAAAAATGGAAATACAGAATTTCGCAAGTATAGCAAGAAAATATTTCAGGCAAACTTAAAACAGCTCTTCATCCAAGCTCTGCTACTGTTCTGGCCAAAGCTGGTTTTTACTCTAAAGCTGAAACAGATCCCGGAGGACGCATCTGAATTTTATAAATCTATGTTCAGGGAAGTCCTCGAGTACAGAGAGCAGAACAATATCATCAGGAACGACTTCACGCAAACTCTAATACAAGCTAGGAAAGATTTGGTGTCAAATAACAACGGAGACGAATCAAAATCCGAAAGTATACTTACCACACGATTTATATAACATATAATATTTATTTTTTATCTGATATTTATCATAACATTTTCAAAAAGTTGTTGCAAGTAGTTGCAACAATATTATTGCAATTACATATTTTCAAAAGGTAGGTACATAAAACAATATTGATAAAATTTAAAATTTAAATATTTTCTCAATACTGTTTTTTTCTGCCATTTGGTTATTGTATGAACATGGTAGAAATATTTTGAACATCAGAAAATCGTCATAAACACATATTGTTGCAATGATATTCTGTTTACAACTATATTTAATCAATATTTTTGAACATAAAATTGCTATCTGGGATATCATATTAATATAAATTATACCATGAACTATATATTTTAAAACAATATTAATTTTATAATAATTATTGCAACTAACATAATACTATAATCGCAACGATTAACATACTATTATGTTTTTAAATTGGATTTTATTTCACAGATAAATGGACCGAAATGGACATAATCGGAAACGCTATATTGTTGTTTGTCGCTGGTTCCGAAACAGTTTCTACTTTGATATGCTTTTGTTTGTACGAGTTAGCGTTAAACAAAGACATCCAAGACAGACTGCGCGAAGAGATCGTGACGACAAAAGCGAAACACGGTGGACAGCTGTCCTACGACTTTTTAAATGATCTCCATTACATAAACATGGTTTTAGAAGGTATGATAAATAATAATTATATGTTATGTTTATTACAGTCGATATCAATACTTTAATAATTTCAAATAGCTAGTTATTTCTCAATCGCATTAGATCCATTAGGTACATGGGAATATAATATTATATTAATATTCATTTCATATTTGTATATTATACTTATTGGCTATTGCGTAGTGTAACGTAAATTGTGTGTCCCATATTAAAAATAAATAAACAGCCTCATAAATAACTAAGTTAATACAAATGTACTATATTTTTAATTACCTAGTAAAGAATAATTTAGCTCGTGTATTTCCTCTAAATTTTTTTTTTTTATCTCAAAACTTTTAACGTTGTTACTCGACTAATTTATATATACATTTAAACTATTGGTTATATCGAACTTCTTTAATTAAGATACCGTCGATCCCTCGAACTTTTTCTCCGGTCCCTAGAATTTCTTATTTAAACAATGTGAAAAAATCTTGTTTAACTCGAATATTTTCATGGATAACTCAAAGTTTTGATTTTTATTAATATTGTACAATTTTGATATTTCCAATATGTACCTAAGTATATACTATATAGTTTAATATCGAAAATAAGGTAATAACCTTATTATTCATTACTCATTAGTATTATCATTACCGATAAGTGGTTTAGAACGATCCTCTGGCATGGCCGTTTTCGACCAAAAACGTACTCTTCTATTTTCGGCCGATTCACTTTTCAACCAAATTTAAAATAAAATGCATAAAATGTTGTGAAATAAAATTTAGAAAATTATTTAAAATATAAGAATATCTGTATGTTAACATTATTTTTATGTTAATATGTCACAGTATGTAATATCAATAATTGTATATAAAAAAATAAAATTTAAACCACATAAGTAGGTTTGTAACATATTAACATAAAAATTATGTTAATACATAGATATTTTCATATTTTAAATAATTTTTAACATTTTATTTTACAATATTTTATGCAACTTATACTTTTAATCATTTTCAAAATTATATAATTAAATAATTGCACTAATTTTACAACAAATTATATACCAATTATTTTATTTATTTTTTCATACATTACCTACATAAAATTTTGTTTTGGCCGAAAATCGAAGAGTACAATTTTAATCGAAAAGGGAATCGGTGTTTTTTTTAATTTGGTCGAAAAATGAATCAGCCAAAAAGGGAAGGGTACGTTTTTGGTCGAAAACAGTCTCTCCCGATTCACTACAAACGCTGCGATCAACAGCAAAACTCAAACAAAAATAAATATCTATTTTAAATATTTTTCTAACCTCATTTTTGTTTATACATACGTACCTTTTTAAAATTACATATTATTATACATAATTCATATATAAATACGTAGTAAATATTTTTTATTACATTACTTTATTTATAATAAATAAATAGAATATTTTGCACTGTTATAAAAATTTTTAATTTGGTTAACTCGAACTTTTTTCCGGTCCCTTTAACTTTGAGTTAACCAAGTTTGACTGTATTTTACCGTTTATCGTTAGGACATTGATATTCAGTTCACGTAATATGTATTACATAAACAGTGGTAAAACCCTCGATTCCTAGATAATAATAATAATAATAAATAATCATTTATATTTTAGAAGTATCGCGCTTATACTCCATCACCTTAATTATCTTCAGACAAGCAACTAAGAATTACAAGGTACCTGGTCAGTCGTTAGTCATTGAAAAAGGACAAAGGATCGTCATACCAATATACGCCATACATAATGATCCAAAATATTATCCCAATCCCGATACTTTTGATCCTGAAAGATTTTCGGCGGAAGAAAAATCTAAACGCCCCAATGGCTCTTACATACCGTTTGGCGATGGACCAAGATTGTGCATAGGTAGGTACTTATACTACCTGATATAATATATATTTTGAAACTTTTATAGTACACTCCAGTTAACCATTTTTAATCTTAATGTCCTTAAAAATTATTTTTAAATTAAAATTTTCAAATATAGGTAAACGATTGGCGGAATTAGAAATTAAATTTATTCTAACGGAAATATTGCTGAAATATGAAGTCTTGCCGTGTGAAAAAACGGAAATACCTATCAACATACGAGGTTCTGGAAGTCTCGTCAATCCGAAAAACGGCGTTTGGTTAAGCTTTAAACCGATCGTTACAATTTAACATAAGCATATTATATCAATAATAGGCATATTGAAATATCTCTTTTAACAATATTTTTTAATACTATAATTAAAATTACAAAGTACAATACTATTCAATATTGCAAGCGCACGTATAATTTTGTATATTATCTATTTTATGAACAATAAAATCGTATTACAACAATTAATATGTTATGTATTAGCTACTGAGTTAGATAATACGTAGATTGATGTGGCTTTAATACTATTTCTATCGTAAATTTAAAATATTTTGAAAACAAGAGTTCGAAATTAATGTAAAATAACAAAAAACTAAATCCATAATAATAAATATAATTTTCATAGTCAAATAAAGCAACAATTTTTTTGAAACACGATCAGATCTAAGGTGACTTATCATGATTCTTATAATACATAATAGTTTAAAATTGATTGCTGTGTGCGTCAAAAGTGTAGCTTTAATCCTATTTTGATTTTTTAAACGTGAATAGGTTTATCACAAAAGGAGTACGAGATTCTATAACACAGTATAATATTATAATGCGATGAGTTTTTCAAGTTAATAACTGAAAAACAAATTATAGTAACATAAACAAAATAGTCATTAGTCATCATTTATTATTACAACCGATAACAGATTAATGAACCTCATTTCATTTTTTTACAAAAGAATATTTTATTATAATTTATGACCAATGTTGTTATACTTAATAATATAGGTACCTTCAAATAATTGACTATAACATTTCAATATTTTTATAAGCAATATGTTATAAAGACCAACTTTATTATGACCAGTTTGGAAATTTCCAATGTACCTGCATATGATAGTAATGAAAATAAATCAGCAAAATAGACAAGTAGGTATTCGATAATTATTACTAAAGATGATGTCATGGGATATTACATTTTAGAAATAAGAACTTCCTCGATTCCAATTTCTAGAGAAATTTATAATCAAATTCTAAAGTACTTAATATTAATATTTTACTTTAAGCTTTGGAATTATTCAATTCTAAGAATAACCGTTAGCAATCCAAAACTGCATTATACTGAAATAATCTAAATATACGATCTTAACATACTTAAGCAACTATGTTAACATGAGTACATCATGTATTTACGTTTACTGTACATGTGTATTTTTTGGGACAGAACTAACAACACCACAATCTAAAATAATTATTTTAAATGTTAAGTTTTGTATCTGTATTCTCGGTGTTAAATAAAAAATGTTGAATTGGAAGTAGTAGAAAATACTAATAATTCAGTTTAATCAAACGACAAGATGGACCATGACATTCGAGTCAACGAAAAAGATTTGCAATTGCCATTCTCCAACATCTACGAACCGATACATCAAGTTACCGAATATGGAGATTCCCAGTGCCACCTATTGTTCTCGGAGAACTAAAAAAGTGTGAAGAGCTGCCTCGATGCCTGTTTATACAAATTATAATATTTTATATTTTATACTATAAAATTGTATGCATCGCCCGAAACGTTTCGAGATGCAATCTAATATACGAGGATTCTTATCACATAACAACAGTCCTGTTATCAACTATTTATTTATCACTCGATAGATTCGATAACTTTGAAATATCTGCACCTGCAATAATATTAATTTTTAAATTTTAAGTACAGTCTTTATGTCGGTTGTCGGTAATTCATGATTGCTAATTTAATAATCATTATAATAAATCGTTGGTCAGTCACCTGCTCGTCGTGGTTGCCGACAAGAGATCCGTCCGCATTCGACAATGTGCTTAGAACAGAATTCGCAATCTAACGATACCGATTCGAGTGCGAAAATAACTAAACTTAAGAGAGGCAAATCGGTGCCCGAGAATTCTTGACTGAGGAATTCGCAGGATGGTCAACAGAGCAAGGCATCCAGCGCAAACACATCACCTGGCCGCAACATGTGCAGTGATGTCGACTTACCATACATATAGTACACGGTCAACAGACCAATTGAAGGTACGATTAGCTAACTATAGTGAACTCCAAAGTTTGATGAACAACACTAAAACCATTTCTAGATTCTCCAAAGAAACCCAGCATCATGAACCAAGGCTGATCGATGTAGGTAGAACCTCAGTGATCCATGAAGAAAACCCCAAAGTCCACACCTAAACACAACATTGTGATGGTCAGAGCGGCGGTTCTATAAACCCCAGACATGGACAAGGATTTATATCAAATGAAGGTGAATTTTTTCTTACATTAATCCTCACTAAATTATGTCATGAAAAAAGAGCTAAATGTATTCAAATATGGTATCAATTCCACTAATTTGGTTTACATTTTTACTTATCTATTTATATCTGATATAAACAATAGTTATGTTCTTTGTAGTTTCAAGTTACATAAAGCTGTTTCAGAAAAAAAATAAATTGATTAGGTAATGAACAGACATTCAATACATTTATACTATAGGATTCATATAAGTGAACTTAAACTTAATATATACTTAGATTACATAAACATAAAATTAAAATATTATTTTTTAATTTTGTAGGTAAATTTATTTTACTTAGCAATATTTTATTATTATCTTTTAAAACACAAATAAAATTAAACCAAAATGTACAATATATTAAAGAGTAATTCAAGAATTCTTAAACACAATACTATTTAGACAAAAATTACAGATATTAGAGAACATATTATATAATATTATTTAGTTTTGTTTATTTAATAAAAGTAGTTTAAGTGTTCATTTCTATTATTCATAGTTTTTAATTGTATTCAATAACAAATGACTAGTAGCTCCTTTGATACTTTTAACTAACTACTTTTATTTTCTAAATTTACTGTGTGTATAAAAATAAAGTTTATTTTATAATTTTATCTAGTACCATTGTTTTACCAATAATACAAAGCAGTGTATCTTTGCTAGCAGCCAGAGATCTTAGAGCATTAGAAAGAATCGATGCTAATGCAATGTATAGACTGTGTCAACTTTATCAGGCCTATATGAGCCGTTGTACCAAAGCAATGACTGCAGATCAAACTTTGATCAATAAACAAATTTTGTAGGTACATATCTATCTAAAACTTAAGCTAAACAATAATTGCTATTATTATTAGATTAAAACTATTAAATTAATATCTAAGTAATAATCAAATTTGATTTTTTGCAGCTTGACAATGAAACCACACAAGTGTTAAATGTATATGTAGCATCATATAAACTATATGCCAAAATCAACTAATAATTCAAATGCATCAATGACACGAATAAACAACTGAACTTTTGTCATCTATTGGTAAATAATACCTCCGGACGAACGGTTAAAACCATTTGTGTGGACAACAGGTCAAACGATTACTGATCACATCATATATTTTCACTTTTAACTAGTCTCTAACACATTTTATGTACATTTAAATTTTTATTCTATTGTTATTTACTTATAGTTGTTTAAGTGTTTAAAATTTTTGATCTGTATGAATTTTTATTTGTTTAAGTATCCATGGTAAATGAAATGAAAGTTTTGTATATACGTCTGGATATCCTGGTTTGGCACATCCCGAACCAAACGATGTGAGACCGGCCAAAAACCATCGACCATTTGGACCTGAACATTGCAATGGCCCTCCAGAATCTCCCTGCAATATGTTTAATGACCACATTGTTTTAATTGGTTACCTTGAGCTGTAAAACTGATGTATGTTAGTTTTTGTTCAACGTACCACACATGGTCCACCACCTTTTCCATCCATTCTGCCAGCACACAAATGGCCATCATTTATATGCACTGCTGGTCCATATTTTTCTTTACAAACAGATGTGTTGTGAACAGGTACTTTTATCTGTCGCAATTTACCCGACAATGGCCCATTTGGTTTGACTTTGCCCCATCCAGTTGTAACACATACCTTTGGAATTGGCGTGTTATTTTTAGATGATGGCAAACACAAACACCGTACATTTGTGTTAGTGATATTTGTTGGCCTAGACAGTTTCATTAATGCTGTGAAATTCAATTGTTAGTACTAGTGAAATTCAATTATTGTCTTAGAAATTTGTTCATAATTAACCTATGTCATTTTGGTAATTGTTAAATTTGTCGTGAATGACCACTTCATCAATTGGTATACGCTCCTCCGTGTGCTCTTCTACATCTCTATTCCAGTCGCCTAGCACAGCTGTCCAAAGAGCTGCCAATGGCAAGCTGAACTTTTCACTTGTGATCAAAATTGAATTTTCAATATAAATATTTTACGTACAGTTGTCAACAACATTATAAATAATTACTCACTTTCTGATGCAGTGTGCAGCTGTCAATATCCAAGTAGGTCTAATCAATACACCAGCACACCAATGGCCAACAAAACCAAATGCTGGGTGAAGTAACTGTAACGATACCTACCAAAAATAAAAGAAAAAACACTTAATAAAATATTGTGTAATCTAAACCCATACCCTCAGAATTCAGACGAATCTTACAACTATACAATTCTTTTTTAAATTAACTTCAATACTTAAATTATATGTATATTTATTTTAAAAGTTTATTGAAAAAAAATGTTGAAAATTGACATTAACTCTTAAAAAGTTATTTTCACTATTACCTATTGTTAGATTATCCAATGTATTTATTTATATTGTTATATGCAATGTTATTCTAATTAAATTATTTTTTGTGAATATTAAGTAACTACTAAATACTTCACCACATTACGTTGATACTTATTTTATGTGTTTACAATTACATCAAGTGTGCTCATGTTTTAACATAAAAAAAAATTTTAAGTATTTCATCAATTTATTATTTCAATGTACACATCATTAAAACACTATTTTCATTTTTTATTTAAATTCAACATAATACCATCCAAAAACTACATGTCATGGTTTATGAATAATATTGGTAGATAGAGAAGTACCAACTTTTTATTTTTTTAAGATAAATTACATTATTTGGATAAGTCGAATTTTTTTTGTCAAAGTGTGCAGACAAAAAATTAGATAGGTATAGGTACATAATCTACCTAAGAAAAAATGTTTATAATTATCTATTACATTTTTATGGATGTATTATTTAAAAATAAATCCATTAAAATAATAAAAAGTACATAAAAATGTCTGCTAAAATAATGTTTTTAACTGATCTTACATCTATGCTTTCAATATTTCTCCATGTACACTCCTTTAAATTTAATGTTTTTCATCAAT